ACCAATGTAACCAAGCTTCATTATCACCCTCAGGAACCAGATGATGACCCTTGAACAGCACCTAATAAGAACCTGGTGTTCACCCTCTTTTTAGCACCAGGGATGATGGTGAGAGCAAGGGCATTCCTGCACACAACTGTGGCAGCTTGGAAAGATGGTAGCAAGAGCCCAGTCTTAAAATGAAGCAAATTTTCTCTCCAAGGTTTTGAAACAATGTCCCAACACTGACAATTCTAAATTATGTTCTCTTTCAGAGTACAAACTAGCTCTTCCAACTTACTCATTCTTTTCCTTCCTTCTTCATCCCAACAAAATATCAGTAATTTAAAGCTGCTATAATTTGTTATATTATCCTTACTTTCAGGAACAGAAATATTTGCCCTGAACCCAATTATCAATATATTTTCAATATTAAAATTTCAGCAGAATAATACTTTATTTAGTATCTAAGAGTTCAGGAGATACCCACCATATCATATTTGGGCCTCATAATAAGCCTGTGATGCATGTATTATCTTATTTTACAGACAAAGGGCCTGAGGCTCTAAGAGATTGTGTAACTTGTAAAGTCACTGTGATCAAGCTGGGACAGGTCTTCTGACTCCACTTCTTCAGAGCTCTCCACTCTGCTCAACCCCAGCACTGGGCACTAATGGAAAATTCTTGGCACATTATCAGAAACAGAACTGCTTTCTCAAAACTAGGCTAAAGATTCTTCATTCCGTAAACTGTGTTGCACCCACATTAATTGTTGCTCCACAAACAATAATAAATAAACATTGTCAGGAATCTGTTATGAAGGGACTGCCTCCTTTTATCGGAGCTCAAAACTTTCCTCTTCAGACTGTTATGTTTTATAACAGTGCTAAAATGCTACTTTTGGGAAAAATGCAAGACAGAATGTTACTCATTTTGTTTCGGTTCTGTCGGCCTTTGTTTTTTGAGATGAGGGGTTTCTCACAATGTTGCTCCTGGTCTCGAGCTCAGGAGCTCAAGTGATCCTTCCACATCAACCTCCCAAGTAGCAGGGATTACTGTACAGGCATGAGCCACCACACTTGGCTTAATACTGGTATTTTGGCTACAGAAAACTTGCTTTTCACACACAACAAAGATTGCCGGCATTCACAATGTCTCTCTCACAAGAACTAACAACCACGTTACTCTCTAAAGAGAATTTTTGTCTAAATAGAGAACAATGTAACAAATGCTCTTCTAATCAGATATGTAATCCTAAAGTGCACCAAGATGATACTTTGAAAGAGGATTTTACTAGGCTAGAGATGCCAAAGATATAAAAAGCTATTGAAGGTATTCTGGTCCCCTAACCATTTTGTCCCCACTCTAAAATAATGAAAATTTCATTACTAAAAGTGATAAGGGGGCCAGGGATTTAGCTAGGCTGGGGATTTAGCTCAGTGGTTCTGCCGCCTGTCTCCCAAACACAAGGTCCCAAGTTCGATCCCCGGTACCAAAAAAAAAAAAAAAAAAAGGTGTTAAGGAACTAGCTTAATCCTGGAGAGGGGTAAGTTTAAAAGCTATCGGTAGGAATCTGAGAAAGCTACCTTTTTTAAGCTGGGCATAGTGGTGCAAGCCAGTAGTTCCAGCACTCTGGGAGGCTGAGTCAGGAGGATCAAAAGTTTAAGCCCAGCCTGGGCAATTTAGTGACTTAGTGAGACACTGTCTTGAAAAAACTGGGGGGAGGAGAAGGCTAGAATGTAGCTCAGTACAAAGGCCCTGGGTTCAGTTCCTAGTACAAAAAAACAAACAAAAGACCCTATTTTTAAAAACAAAACATTTCAGGCACATCAAAAACCAAATACCCATGTGCCACCACCAGTTTAAGCAACAGAACACTACAGATCCAACTGAAGCCTATATGATTTCACCTTTCTCCTTCCTCTTTCTCAGATAGCAGCTATAGTGAAGTTGGTGTTTGGTTCCCAAACAGGTATATATTATTACTTAAGTATAACTCCACGAAAAACATAGGAACATGTTTTTCATGTTTACTTTCACAAGTTTAATTTTATGTATTTTGAAACCATGACTGTACTACACAAATAAAAAGAACAAAAGTGTAATGTCTTCTTCTACCTAGTTTCCCTTCTTCCAGCAACTACTGTGACATAGTCTCATGTGTATTTTTAAACCTACACTATACTGTACATATAGAAGCAGTAAGATGTACATATGTATCTGCCCTTACCTTTTATACATAAATGGTAGGTGCATTATACACACAATTTTAGTTTCTCATCTTAAAAATACACCTGGGAAATCGTTCTCTAAATTATGTAAAGTTCCTCATTTTTTTCTCAATGTTTACAAGATATTTCACTTTCTATATAAATCATAATTTAACTATTATCCTATTAGAAAGGTTACTTCCAAACTTCTATATTACAAATATGGCAATGATAATCCATTACTCTAGTACATCTGTAGAATAACTACCTATGTTGTATAGTAACACTAGGTGAATTTTAATATATACTGTCACACACTACAGAGGTGATACCCATTTATACTCCCACCAATCCTGGATGAGTGTTTCATATGTTTTTAAAATTTATATAAATAACATCAGACTATACATATTCTATCACTTGCTTTTGATGCCTAACCTTATATTACTGAATGCTGATAAAGCTTTACCTTATAGATTTTTTTAATTGAAGAGATTTTTAAATAACTAAATAACTTGACCTAGGTTTTGTTCACAATAGTCACCTATTTATATAAAATTGTAGCTTTTGTAGAATTACCAACTCAATACGTTATATACATAAACAAATCATTTGCTGAAGACAAAGCCCACTAAAATTAGTTTTCCCTTAAAAATTTCACAAAACCTGCTTTTTTTTTCCTTTTGAGACAGGATCTTGCTACATAGTTCAGGCTGGCCTTAAACTCTCACAGCTGTCCTCTCCCTTCAGCCTCGCAAGTAATAGGATTACAGATGAAACCTGCCATTTTAATTTATTATGATAGTAACATAACACTTCATCCATGATTTTACAACAGTTCTATGAAGGGGAGGGTGATTAAGGGAGTGGATATCAACATCTTTACAAACAAAAAAAAAACAAATGATGCCTTGGAAATAATAATTCAAGCATAATCCCAAACAAAGCTTTCAATTTAAACTTTCAAAACGCTATCATTAAGTAACCAAAGAATTGTTTTAGCTTAGAAATAAGATAATTACTATGAATTTACAGGCCCCTAACCCCCGCAAATTAAATTTCCTACAACCATAGTATATCATACTGAGAATTTTTCTGCATCTCAACATTACATCTTCTGTTAGATTATTTTTCTATGTTAAATTTAACAATATATACAACTAGGGCCGGGGATTTAGCTCAGTGGTTGC